GAAGTAAACCCATCTATATTCGCAGATGACATGATCTTATATGTACCAAATCTAAGGAATCCATGATAAACTATTAGAAACTAATAAACAAATTCAGCAATATTGCAGGATTCAATAGCAATATACAAAAATCAATTGTATTTCTGTACACGAACAATGAACAATCCCAAAATGAAATTAAGAAAAAATTCCATTTACAATAGCATTAAAAAATAATAAAATACTTGGGAATAAAGTTAACAAAACAAGTGAAAGACATGTACACAGAAAAATATAAAACATTGCTGAAAGAAATTTAAAGAAGACCCAAATAAATAGAGAGACAGCCCATGTTCATGGATTAGAAGATTTAACATTGCTAAATGTCAATACTCCTCAAAGTGACCAACAGATTTGACACAATCCCTACCAAAATTCTCACTGGCTTTTTTTGCAGAATTTGACAAGCCAATCCTAAAATTAATATATATCTAAACTAATGGAAATGTTAGGGACAGAGAAGAGCTGACACAATCTTGAAAAAGAAGAACAAAAGTTGGAGGAACCACACTTCGCAATTTCAGAACATACTGCAAAGCTATAGTCAAGGTAATGTTGTATTGGTATAAGAATAGACACATAGATAAAAGGAACAGAATTGAAAGTCCATACAATTATGGTCAATGGATTTTCAGCAGGGGTCCTAAAAGAATCCAGTGGGGAAAGAATAGACTTTTAGCATACGATACTGGGATAACTGGATTAGGCAATAGTTTTAAAACATTAGTGTTTCAAAGCACAAATCAACCATCAGCAAAGTAAAAAGACAACCCAGAGAATGGGAGAAAATACTTGCAAATCAATTATCCAATTATTTAATTCAACAATAAAAATACAAAAAAAATCACTGCCGTGGAGTCTGATCTGACTCATAGCGACCCCTCCTTGGGTTTCCAAGGCGTTATCTCTACAGAAGTAGGTTGACCAATCTTCTTTCCAAGGAGTGGCTGATGGGTTTGAACCACTAGGCTTCTCAAAAGCCTTAGGCACTACACCACCAGAATTCCTACATAAATAGTCACTACAGCATTATTCTTAATAGCTAGAAAAGTAGAAACAACCCAAATGTCCATCAGTAGATGAATGGACAAACAAATGTGGTATATCCATACAACGAAATATTATTTGGCCATAAAAAGAAATGAACTACTGATACATACTACCATAACATGGATGAACCTTGAAAACAGTATGTTAAGTGAAAGAAGAGAGAGTCTAAAGGTCACATTTGTATGATTTCATTTATATAAAATATACAAAACAGGCATATCTATAGAGACCAAAAAGGAGCTCTGGTGGTATATAATGGTTAAGGCATTTTGGCTGCTCTGGTAGCGTAGTGCCTAAGGCACTTGACTGCTAACTGGAAGGAAGGTTGAGCAATCTACTTCCATAGTGATACCACCTCGGAGGCCCTAGGGGATGGCCTCAAGCCTAAGGCAATCACCTGCCACACCCAAGGCTGGCGTTTCAAGCCCACCAGCCGCTCCCCACCAGGTAGCCGGGCGTCTCTTTGGGAACTCTGGTAGCATAGTACCTAAGGCACTTGACTGCTAACCGAAGGCTGGTGGTTCAAACCCACCAACCACTGCTCGGAAGGAAGGTTGGGCAATCTACTTCCGTAGTCTGCCTCAGAAACTCAAGGAGGGGTCGCTATGAGTCAGGTCCCACTCGATGGCATGTAACAACAACAACTGCCTCCGAAACCCAAGCAGGGGTCGCTATGAGTCAGGGCCAGCTCAACGGCTCATAACATCAACTAGAAGGTCAGTGGTTCAAACCCACCAGTTGTTCTCTGGGAGGAAGATAAGGCAACCTACTTCATATAGATTTATAGCCTGGAAGCCCAATGGGGTTCACTGTGAGTTGGACTCGATGGCAGTGGGTTATAGAGACATAAAGTAGATTTGTGATTTCCAGGGGCTGGGGGAAAGGTAGGAGGGGACATGGGAAGTGATTGCTAATGAGTATGGGGTTTCTTTTTGGGGTGATGAAACTTGACACTGGTGATAGTTGCAGAACTCTATGAACATACAAAGAAACACTTTAAAAGGGTGAATCATTTCTTAATTAAGCTGTTATTTTTAAAATATGGTGTTCATTTAATGCTTCCAAAAAAAAAAACCACACTCACTGCCATCAAGTCAATTCCGACTCATAGCAACGCCCTTGGGTTTTAGAGGCAGTAAATCTTTAGGGAAGTAGATTGCCCAGTCTTCCTTCTGCATTTTAAATGCTTACATTCAACAAATTAATTACGATTTTAGCACACTAAAAATGAAAAAAAAAAAAAGATTTTCCTATTGCTATGATAACATAGGATTTTTATAACAAATATTAATTTACAGTGCACCATAATAATGTAGTCTAGCAAAGGGAAACAAATATAAAATTGTGTGATGGATGTCTTTGGTCTTTAACTTCTGTCACACTATCTGTTTGACTGTATATATAACTTCATTTGAGGACAATATCATGAATCTTAAACTTGAGTCTCTCTCATCCTGAGGAAGACTCTGTCAATAACACACATTCCTGCTAATCAGTGCATCAGAAAAAATTAAAATAAGCTTAATTATGGTTCACGGATTTTGTTTTTTGATGAAATGGTATTTTCTCCATCTGTATTCTTTCAGCTTTTGATCAAGGCAATGTAAGAGCTGTGCAGAGTATAGTAAAAATTCCCCCTCCTTAAGGGCCCAGTTTAAACTTAAATATTTTGGAGGGCAGCACCTAATGCAAGAGCCTGCAATCAGAAGAAGACCTATCTTGGTAAATCATTGAAATGCATGAGAATAACAGCACTGCTGCAAACAAACATCTGACCCTTTCCATGGTCTTCACTGAGTACCCAGTGTGAAGGCACATCATGCTGGGTGCTAGGATTTTGGGTTGCACTGCCCCTGCCCTCAAGGAATTAACAGTCTAGTAGGGAAAGCAGATACTAAGTGTATGTAGTTTTAGGTAAGAGAGTGAAGGGGTGCTGTGGGAACATATAATAGGTAGACCCAAGGGCTTATCTGGGGGCTCAGAAGGCTTCCTATTGTGACATTTAGCTGAGAACTGAAGGATGCCAAAAGTCACAGCCTAAGATGGTAGAGATGGCAGAGAAACACAGGGATTCAAGAGGCTGAAGAGTTGTTCAGGAGTCTGTCGCTGTTAGCTGCCATCAAATTGCCCCGCATCTCATGGCAACCACATGCACAACAAGATTGGCCCTTTGCAATACACAGGATTTCACCAGCTGGTTTCCTCAGAAATAGATAATCAGGCCTTTCTTCCTAGACTGTCTTAGTCTGGAAGTTCTGAAACCTGTTCAGCAGTATCTGCTGAAGACAAGCATCAAGCAAGCCTCCCCTGACAGAAGGATGGTGGCTGACTGAGGTACACTGGCAGGGAATCGAACCTGAGTCTTTTGCATGCAGGGTGAGAATTATACCACAGAATCAGCACTGTCCTCTTCAGGAGTTTAGGCCTTATTGATGTAAATGGTTAACACACTTGGCTGCTACCCAAAATGTTGGGGGTTTGAGTCCACCCAGAGTTGTGTTGGAAGAAATGTTTGGCAATCTACTTCTGAAAAATCAGTCATTGAAAATCCTATGCAGCACAGTTTACTCTGACACATGGGGTCGCTGATGGTATCTGGTTTGGTTTATATTTTAAAAAGAGGGTGTGTCTTTTATGTGAAAGAGAAAGAAACTTTCATCTTGTTTAAGCCACTGTTACTGTGAGACTTTTAAGCAGAGCTTATATCTCTATACTAATACAGATGGCTCAGTGCCTAAAGCATTTGACTTCTAACTAGGTTTGTGGTTCAAACCCACCAGCTGCTCTGCAGAAGGAAGATGAGGCAATTCACTTCTGTAAAGAGTTACCACTTGGAAACCCAATGGGGGTCACTCTGAGTCACAATCAACTCGATGGCAGTGGGTTTGCAAGTAATAGTAATACAGGTATCTTACTAAGGAGTTCAACGCTAATCCAAACTTCTAATCCCAAAGATAGAGGAACCCTGACAGGCATGGAAGCGGAACGGTTGGTTTATTACCACAGGTAATATTTTCTATATCTTTTCAAACCCACCAGCCACCCTCGGAAGGAAGGTTAGACAATCTACTTCTGTAGTGATACCGCCTTGGAAACCCAAGGAAGGGTCACTATGAGTCGGATCCAACTCCACGGCAGTGAGTTTGGTTTGGTTTTGGAAGTAACATATACCAACAAAGGTTGGCAGTTCATACCCACTTGAAGGGATGGGGGGAGAATTTCTTTAACTTTTTTTTTTTTATTGATTATATCAGGTAATCTTTATAAACATAAACCAAACCAAAGCAAACCAGCTGCTGTTGAATCGATTTCGACTCATGGGGAACCCATGCATTGAAGAGCAGAACTGTGTTCCATGAGGTTTTTAAGGCTATAACCTCAGAGCAGATCACCAGGCCTTTCTTCCAATTTTGACAACTCTTCAAAAATATTAGACCTTTGTCAGTCAACAAGGAAGTTGCTTTTCACCTCTGTCTTGAAGGGTGCAGTGGAATCTCGGTAGTTTAAATGCCTTTTGACTGAGCTCTGCCCCCACAAAACGGCATTTTATCACTGTTTTATGTTGCCCTGTATTGCTGTTTACCCCTTCCATATCTGAAACCCTCTTTCTTCCCATTGAGGTCATCGATTCTGGGAAATGTGGGGAAGAATTATAGCTTGATATCTATTCCTCACAGAGTCTAATAGCATTCTGAGCATAGACCAATAGTCATCAGATATTCATTCGAGAGGACAATGTCTCCCCCTTAATGATAAGAACCTGGTGGGAAGCTGGGACATGCCTGGCTCATTAATCCTTTGAATGAGGAAGAATTGAAGGTCATTAGAGACAAATATTCATCTTATTCTAGAAGTAACTGTTCAACAAGCACCTGAGCACAAGACATGCTGATCTGTGCATGAGGACTTACCATCCAATTAGGCCACTTTCCTTCTGGCATGTTTTCCATCCAGGACATGATAACCTTATTAAATAGACTGTTCCCAGGAGTGTCTAGTTTGGTTAGGTAATCGTTGAAGGGAAAATCTGCTTCTTGGATAAAAGGCAGCCCATAGTACATCATGGTCTTGTCAATGTTCCCCCCATTGGCTTCAGTTCCCATGAACCTGTAAGAGTTGGCAGAGTTTGGTGTCTTTGGGGCCTGTCAGGGGACACGGAAAGCACTGTGCAGCTGTTTACATCTGGCTTACAAGATGTAGGGGCTGTATGCACACTAGTAATCATATCAGACTAGGGATCACTGGAAAGAATAATCAAGACAGATGATCAAGAAATGTCACATTGGGGCCCCTGGAGAATTTCTCGGTGTAATAAATACAAAGACCAGTTCAATACAAGGACAAGTGCCTAAGAGTTAAGAAGCACATTTAGATCTCAATCAATATTGTTCTCTTCTTTCTAAACCTGATTAAAACTCAGTCACTTCCATAAAGGCTTTCTTCAGCAATTCCCATCACTCCACTTGGAATTTACAGTATATGCCTGCATATAAAGTGATGAGTCTCCCTGCAAAATTCCCCCTTGTATTTCAGTCCTTATACTTTCATCTTATCATTGGGGTACACTCTCAATTACTGAAAATCAAATACTCTTTGGGGAAGACACATTTCACCTGAAATGGCTTCCATCAACATTGGCTTTAGTTGTTTAAGGAAGCATAGTAACAGGTATGTGCACAGTCTGTATAGCCAAACTGTCTCTATTCAAATTCCATCTCTGCAACTGTCACTTGTGTGACCATTACCTATAAACTCACAGCCTCATTTTCCTCATCTATAAAATGAGGACAGTAATCACAGTATCCACTCGAAGGAAGGGGACCAAGAATTTCTTTAACTCTTTTTGTGTTGATTATATCAGGTAATCTTTATAAATATAAATCAAACCACCTGCTGTCAAATCTATTCTGACTCATGGGAATACATGCATTGCAGAGCAGAACTGTGCTCCATGAGGTTTTCAAGGCTGTGACCTCAGAGCAGATCACCAGGCCTCTCTTCCAAGGCACCTCTGGGTGGATTTGAACCACCAACCTTTCAGTTAGTCAATGAGCACTTCACCATTGTGTCACCCAAGGATTCAGATATGGGCATAGTAATAGTCAACTTTATTGTTTATTATGTGTCATGCACTGATACAAGAGATTTATTACATTATTTAATTTCAGAACAGTGTTAAATGGGTATTGCTAGTACTTTTTCATTAATGAGGAAACTGAGACTTATGTTAACAAACCAGCCCAAGGTTACACAGTTAGAGAGCAGGACTGCAGCTGAGGTCCATCTGATTCCAAAACTGTGTTCATAATCATTGTGTTCCACCGAGAGTTTAGCTGAAACATTTAGATTCATAGTGTACAGGGACACTACATGTCAAAAAATAATGATAACAATAATACTAGTTAAAGCTAACACTTAGCTAATAAGTTATCTCTTTAAATAATTTAGTTTTTTACAACCCCCCCTCCCCTGAAGTAAATACTGTAATTACCACTATTTTACAAGTAAAGAAGCTGAAAATCAGCAAAGTGAAGCAACACGAGACAATATACCAGGTCCCAACATACCCAAGTTATAGGAGACTATAATTATGCAGGTCTCTTCAATTATCACTTTAGCCCCTTGAATATGACTGGTTGTGGTGGTGCAATGATTAAGTGTTCAGCTGTTATCCGAAAGGTTGGCAGCTCATACCCACTCAGCACCTCTGTGGGAGAAAGACTTGGCAATCTCCTTCTGTAAAGATTACAGCCAAGAAAACCCGATGGGGCAGTTCCACTCAGTCACACGGGGTCACCCAACAACAGTGATGACTGGTTATAAGGGATAACTACAGATTATACGCAGCACCTGTGAAGAGTAAAAGTGTCCTGTGCTTACCTGTACCTCCCAGGCTCCCTGCTATATCGGTTCATAGTCTCCCGGAAGCTCCGGAGAATGTCATGCATTCCCACCTGAGTGGTGGTGAAGTCATGGTACAGCTCTGAGTAATGTGTGATCATGTCCTTTAAAAAGAGAGCAGCACAGTTTCTATCATTGCAGACTCACAGCTGGCTTTACGTGAATGTACATTGTCTCCTTGAAAAGGACTCAATCCAAGACACAAATGCTCAAAGCCAGCCTGCTACTTCAGCTCACAAAGTGTTTTATGGATGGAGAACATGTGTTACTGTTAGCATTTCATTTGATGCTTAAATTATTAACTTTATAAATCTATTAAATAATATTTCTCTAAATTAACTATTACTTACCCATTTTAGCAAATTAACTTTTCCTATTTAAACACTGATTATAAATGTATTTAACAAAAATCCTTCTGAATGTTTAATTAATACCATAAATCCAATCTATTGGGTTGTTCTAAATGCTTCAGAACTTTTGAAGACAAACAAAAGTTATCTTAAAGATTGAAGAAGTTCTCATTATTACACTTTTACTTAATCTGGTTACAAAAATACCATACTATGCATTTGAATTTATTTCTTTATGGCCTCTATCTTTGATTGTTATTGTATCCTTACACTTTCCCAAAGTTTCAGTAATTTTACCTAATGCTCATTGCTATGCCTTACTGGGGTTATTGTAATCTTCTAAGACCCAAAGCAAAAGCTTTCATCTCACCCAAGTCAAGACTGTAAATTCTCAGTTGGGACAACTGGCTGACCATCCAAACCTGAGTTGTCATTCATTAATCGGGGTTCCCTTTACATAAATGAACTTCTCTTGCTACATCAATAGGTTTTTTTAAAAAATCTATGGTTTGCCCTGAAGTAAATGTTAATGGCTAACATTTAGCTAATACATTATCTTTTTAAATAATTATTTAAATAATTTAATTCTTTAAGTTCTTCCTGGGTAGCACACAAAACCCAATATTCTGATCACTGGACATGACCAGAAAGGCACACCTGCCTTATGACAGCTCATCATAATTAAGAAAGTTATTGCAAGATTTTTCCCTTTGGGACAATAGATTAATACATCACCTGTTTTTCCCTTCACTTTCCTTTTTTATTGGAAATCATGAGTGAAAAAAAAAAATTGGCTTACTCATAACATTCATTTTATGGTATGCCCTCATCATTGGCTCATGCACAATCAACCTCTCCTAAGTCAGTGAATTTGTCAGTTAATGAAGTTACAAGCAATGAATCTACTACTCAGGACAAAAGCTACAAGTTTGGCAATACACTATAGTATTAATTTTATTTGCTTAACTTTGTAAAAAGGTTATCAAGCTATATGTAATTTTTTTTCATTAAACATTACATTGTGAAGATTAATTCATATTATCGTGTGACTATAGTTCATTTAGTTTGACAGAAGTATACAATTCCACTGTGTAAATATATAAAGCCATCATTTTGGAACGCCGTTTAGGAGTACTGTCAACTTGGCCTTGGACAAAAAGTGACTATAGAATGATGGGCAACCAGAGGAATAGGCTAGCACATAAATGTCATGTCTCATGTGACATGGGGGGAGAGGCGCGTTTTAGAATCACTGGTGTGCAAGTACAAAGAATCCAAATTCTGTAGATAGGCTTGAATTCTATTTACCACCTCTGTAAACCCTGATACATTAACCTAAGATTTGCTCACTCACAGCCATCAAGTCGATTCCAACTCATAGTGATATTTTAGAACAGAGTACAAATGCCTCATAGGGTTTCCAACACTGTAAATCTTTGTAGAAGCAGATTGCCTCATCTTTCTCCCACAAAGTAGTTGGTGGATTCAAACTACTGACCTTTATGTTAGCAGACGAATGCTTAACCACTACGCCACCAGATTTCCTCTAAGATTTGGTAAATAGAGATAACAAAAACTCTCCCTTAGGATGTGGAGAGGGTTAAATGAAATATCGTAAGTAAACAGCACATAGCACACAATATTGTTATTGTTGTTAGGTGCTATTGAATCGATTCCAACTCCTACAGACCCTATGGACAACAGAACAAAACACAAAACACTGCCTGGTCCTGCACCATCCTCACCAATCTTTGTTATGCTTAAACCCACTGTTGCAGCCACTGTGTTCTTCCATCTCATGGAGAGTCTTCCCCTTTTTCTCTAACCCTCCACTTTACCAAGCAAATTACCCTTCTCCAAGGACTGGTCCTTTCTGACAACATGACCAAAGACTGGCCATTCTTGCTTCTAAGGAGCATTCCAGCTGCACTTCTTCCTGGACAGATTTGTTTGTTCTTTTGGCAGTCCATGCTATTTTGAGTATTCTTTGCCAATACCACAATTCAAAGGCATCAATTTTTCTTTGGTCTTCCTTACTCATTGTCTAGCTTTCATAAGCACATGAGGCAATTGAAAATACTCTGGCTTGGGTTAGGTGTCCTTTAATCTTCAAAGTGACATTTTTGCTCTTCAACACTTGAAAGAGGTCTTTTGCAGCAGATTTGCCTCATGCAATACCATGTCTGATTTCTTGACTACTGCTTCCATGGGTGTTGATTGTGGATCCAAGTAAAATGAAATCTTTGATAACTTCAATCTTTTCTCCATTTACCATGATGTTTTTAGTCCAATTGTGAGGATTTTTGCTTTCTTTATGTTGAAGTGTAATCCTTACTGAGGACTATAGTCTTTGAACTTCATCAGTAAGTGCTTCAAATCATGTTTACTTTCAGCAAGCAAGGTTGTGTCATCTGCATACTGCAGGTTATTAATGAGTCTTCCTCCAATCCTAAAGTTGCGTTCTTCCTCATATAGTCCAGCTTCTTGGATTATTTGCTTAGCATATAGATTGAATAAGTATGGTGAAAGGATACAACCCTGACACATGCCCTTCCTGATTTTAAACTATGCAGTATCACCTTGTTCTATTCAAAGAGTTGCCTCAGAGTCTATGTACAGGCTCCTCATGAGCACAATTAAGTGTCCTGGAATTTCCATTCTTAGCAATGCTATCCATAATTTGTTATGATCCACACAGTTGAATGCTTTTGCATAGTCAATAAAATACAGGTAAACATCTTTCTGGTACTCTCTGGTACTCTTTGCTTTGAGCCAAGATCCATCTGACATCAGCAATGATAGCCCTTGTTCCATGTCCTCTTCTGAATCTAGTTTGCATTTCTGGAAGTCAATATACTGCTGCAAACATTTTTTAATTATCTTCAGCAATATTTTACTTGCATGTGATATTGAAGATATTGTTCGATAATTTCCACATTCTATTGGATCATCTGTGTTTGGAATGTGCATAAATATAATCTCTTCCAGTCAGTTGGCCAGTTAGCTGGCTTCCAAATTTCTAGGCACAAATGAGTAAGCACCTCCAGCCCTGCATCCATTGGTATTCCAATTTGTATTCAATGGGTATTCCATCAATTCCTGGAGCCTTGGTTTTCACCAATTCCTTCAGCGCAGCTTGGACTTCTTCCTTCAATACCATAGGTTCTTGATCATGTGCTTACCTCCTGAAATGGTTGAATATCAACTAATTCTTTTTGGCACAATGACTCTGTGTATTCCTTCCATTTTCTTCTGATGCTTCCTGCATCATTCAACATTTTGCCCATAGAATCCTTCAGTATTGCAATTTGAGGCTTAATTTTTTTTTTCAGTTCTTTCAGTTTAAGAAATGCCGAGTGTCTTCTTCTCTTTTGGTTTTCTAATTCCAAGTCTTTGCATATTTTATTATAATATTTTACTTTGTCTTCCCAAGCAGCCCTTTGAAATCTTCTGTTCAGCTCTTTTATTATCAACATTTCTTCCTTTCACTTTAGCTACTCTCCATCCAAGAGCAATTTTCAGAGTCTCTTCTGATATCCAATTTGGTCTTTTCATTCTTTCATTCTTTTTTAATGATCTTTTGCTTTCTTCATGTATGACGTTCTTGATGTCATCCCACAACTCATCTGGTCTTTGGTCATTGGTGTTCAATAGACAACAGCAAATATTAGCCCCCTTTCTTTCCATTTATGCATTCTTTAATAACTAGAAAAGAACCTGGGAAAATAGAGGCCTCCTCCATTCAGTAAGAATGAGATGGCAAAATCACAGTGAGTAGATGTCCTTCTCGTTGTCTACACTTCCTGTGTTCTCAGAACGCTTGTCATTTGAAGGGCTCTTCAAAAAGAGACCTCACTCTGGAGGGAACCAAGGGAAGGAAACATCTGGACATATGCATTTGAAACTCCTCTGTATTTCCTAAAGAAAATAATTCAAAGCATATGCTAAGACAAAAAAAGCTCATCCCTAGTAATTTGTATCTCAAGCTAAAAAAAAAAAAAAAAAAATTTGATAACATCTTCGAAGAAGCAAAAAAAAAAAAAAAGTTTAAAACAAAACTTTACCGGACTCAGTGTCTTATTCACTTGGGCCTCATTTCTCAGATGTCTTGCTTCTAGAAGAAATTTAACAGCATCGAAACTAAAGCCATCAACACCCTTTTCAAGCCAATACTGTATAATTTCCTAAATATGAAGAAGCAAAAGACTTGGTTACATAAGTTACATATTTTCAACATAATTTTAATAAAAATTTTGTTTGTTAATGACTTTCTATCTGCTCCATGTACAAAACAAGCACAGAATCCATATATTGTATTTTCATCTATTTAGCACAACAGTTCTTGGTATAATGACTAACTTACTACAATGCAATCACTCCATTTATGGATTTTTATATCTCATTCATATTTTTTATTGTGGTAAAATGAACAAAACATAAAATTTATCATTTTAGCCATTGTGAAAGGAATAATTCAGTGGCATTAAGTATATTCACAATGTTGTGTAACTATCATTATTATCTACTTTCAGCCAATTTTCATCATCTTAAACAGAAACCCTGTACCCATTAAGCAGTCATTCTCCATTTCCCCATCTCCCCAGCCCTCGTAACCATACATCTGCTTTTTGTCTCTATAGATTTGTTTTTTCTGGATATTTCATGTAAATGGAATCATACTGTGACCTTTTGCGTGTGGCCTCTTTCACTTAGCATAATGTTTTCAAGGTTCATCTATGTTATAGCATGTATTAGTACTTCATTCCTTTTTATAACTGAATAATGTTCCATTGTATGTATGTATTTATACACACACACACACACACACACTCACACACTACATTTTATAATCTATTCACCTGTCTATGAACATTTGGATTGCTTCCACCTTTTAGGTATTTTTAATAGTGCTACACTTAACATTCATGTACAAGTTTTTGTTTGAACACTTGTTTTCAATTTTAGGGGGTATAGCATAGTGCCTAAGGCACTTGACTTCTAATCAGAAGGCTAGTGGTTCAAACCTACCAGCCACTCCTCGGAAGGAAGGTTGGGCAATCTACTTCCGTAGTGATACCACCTTGGAAACCCAAGGAGGGGTCACCATGAGTCAGGTCCAAGTTGACGGCACATAACAACAACAACAACATAGGATATAGTAGAATTGCTGGGTCACATCGTCATCCTATGTTTAACTTGTTCAGGGAATACACCCTGTTTTCCACAAGCCTACACCATTCCCACCAACAATGTACAAGTGTTCCAGTTTCTCCATGTTCTCATCAACACTTGTTACTTTCTTTTATTATTATATTTCATTAAGTAGTGTCTAATTGTAGTTTTGATTTACACTTCCTTAATGACAGACTATACTGAGCATCTTTTCATGTGTTTGTTGGCCATTTGTATATCTTATTTGGAGAAATGTCTATTTAAGTTCTTTGTCCATTATTTATGGGCAAAGTTTTGAGTGTTTGTCTCTTTGCTATTGAGTTACAGGAGTTCTTTATATATTCTAAACATTAAAACTTTATTAGATGTATGATATGCAAATATTTTCTCCCATTTTTGTGGGTTATCTTTCCACTCTCTTGTTAGTGTTCTTTCATGCACAAGTATTTTTAATTTTGGTGAAGCCCAATATATTTACTTTTTCTTTTCTAACTTGTGCATTTGGTATCACATCTAAGAAGCCATTGCCAAGTCCAAGATAATGACGATTTACCCCTATAATTCCTTAAGTAATTTTTAGACCTTTGTTATTGTTGTGTGCTGTTGAGTCAATTCCAACTCATGGTGACTCTATGACTGCCCACAGGGTCTCCTAAGTGAAATCTTTACAAGAGGTGATCACCAGTCTTTTCTCCCATGGAGTGTCTGATGGGTTCAAATCACTAACTTTATATTTAGCAGCCAGGTGCTTAACCATTGCACTTCAATTTGGGTCTCTGATCCATTTTGAATTAATTTTTGTACATGGTGTGCTATAATGTCCAACTTCATTCTTTTGCATGTAGACATCCAGTAGTTCCAACACCATTTGTTGAAGAGATTATTTTTACCCTATTAAATGCTCTTGGCACTCTGGTAAAAAAAAAAATCAATTGGCCGTAGATGTACAGGTTTATGTCTGGACTCTCAATTCTATTCCATTGGTCTCTATATCCTTATGCCAGTACCATACTGTTTTAATCCCTGTAACTTTATAGTATGTTTTAAAATGGGAAAAAGCGAATTCTCCAACTTTGTCCCTTTTCTTTCAATATTGTTTGGGTCTCTTACAATTCCAAGTGAATTTTAGGTTCAGCTTTTTCATTTCTGAAGGAAAAAAAAAAGCATATTGGGATTTTAATTAATAGTGATTGCACTGAATCTGTAGATAGCCCTGAGGAATACTACCATCTTACCAATATTATGTCTTCCAACCCATGAAACACAGGATGTCTTTCCATTTATAAAGGTCTTTAATTTCTTTCAGCAATGTTTTATAGTTTTCAGTGAATAAGTTACGCACCTCTTTGCTTAAATTTATTTCTATGTATTTTATTTTTCTTGATGTTATTAGAAATGGAATTGTTTTCTTAATTTTCCTTTTGTATAGTTCATTGCTTGCTGGTGTTGTTGTTGTTGTTGTTGTTATGTGCCGTCAAGTCAGCCCCAACTCATAGTGACTCCTCCTTCGGTTTCCGAGGCAGTATCACTATGGAAGTAGGATTGCCCAACCTTCCTTCTGAGGAGTGGCTGGTGGGTTTGAACCGCCAGCCTTCTGGTTAGCAGTCAAGTGCTTTAGCATAGGGTGTTGTTAGGTGCCATCAAGTCAGCTCCAACTCATAGTGACCCTATGAATAACAGAACGAAACACTGCCCAATCCTCCACCATTCTGACAATCCTTGCTATGCTTGAGCCCTTTATTGCAGCCACTGTGTCAATCCATCTTATTGAGGGTCTTCCCCTTTTTCACTGACCCTTTACTTTATCAAACTTGATATCCTGCTCCAGGGAATGGTCCCTTCCGACAACATGACCAAAGTAGGTGAGACAAAGTCTGGCCGTTCTCGTTTCCAGGGATCATTCCAGCTGCACTTCTTCTACTTGCTAGTATATAGAAATACAACTGATTTTTGTATATAGATCTTTTATCCTACAGCTTTGCTGAATTCATTTATAGTTCTAATATTTGTTTTTGCATTATTTTTCTATATATAAGATTATGTCATCTACAAATAGAGATAGTTTTAATTCTTCCTTTCCTATTTAGAGGCTTTATTTTTCTTGTTTGATTTCATTGCTCTGGTTAGAATGTCCAGTGCAATGTTGAATAGAAGTGGCAAGAGTGGACATCCTTGTATTGTTCCTATTATAAAGGGGAACGCTTTCAGTCTTTTACCATGAAGTATTATGTTGGTATGGTTTTTCATATATGCCCTTTATCATGATGGGGAAGTTCCTATGTATTCCTAGTTTGTTGAATATTTTTATAATGAAAGAGTGTTGGATTTTGTGAAAAGCCTTTTGTATATCAATGAAGATGATCATGTGGTTTCTTTCCCTCATTCTGTTAATATGGTGTGTTACACTGATAGGGAGTCCCTTGGTGGTACAAATGGTTAACTGGGGGATTAGCTCAAATGGTAGAGTTCTGCTTAGCATGAGAGAGGTATTGGGATCAATGCCCATGTCCTCCATTTGGTTTAAAGGAGCTCTGTTGGAGCAGTTGTTAAAGCATTCGGATGCTAACCAAAAGATCTGCATTTCAAACCCACCAGCTGCTCTGCAGGAGAAAGATGAGGCAGTCTTCTTTCATAAAGATTTATACTCTTAGAAACCCTACTCTGTCCTATAGGGTCACTATGAGTCAGAACTGATGGCAGTGGGTTTTGGTTTGGACATTACATTGACTGATATTTCTATGCTGAACCACTCTTGCATTCATGGGATAAATCCTACTTGATTATGGTGCATAATTCTTTTTATATGCTGCTGGATTTGATTTGCTAGTATTTTGGGGGGGAGCTCTGGTAGCATAGTGCCTAAGGTACTTGACTGCTAACGAGAAGGCTGGTGGTTCAAACCCACCAGCCACTCCTTGGAAGGAAGATGGGGCAATCTACTTCCATAGTGATACTGCCTCGGAAACCCAAGGAGGGGTCACTGTCAGTCAGGTCCAACTCGACGGTACATAACAACAACAACAACAACAAAGTATTTTGTTGAGGATTTTTACAACTATATTCATAAGTGATATTTATAATTTTTTTTTTTTCTTGTGATGTCTTTGGCTTTGCTATCATGGTAATGCTGGCCTTGTAGAATGAGTTAAGAAGTGTTCCCTCCTCTTCTATTGTTTGAAGAGTTTGACCTATTTTGAATAAATATCATTACTTTCATTAGTATACAAAAATTCTACTCCCATACTTTTCTTGTTTAAAATGTTAAAGAATAAAGATGTCTTTTTGAAGACTAAGGTATGCCTGACTCAAGCCATGGTATTTTCAATAGATTCATATGCATATGAAAGCTGGACAATGAATAAGGAAGACTGAAAAATTGAAGCATTTGAATTGTGGTATTGGTGAAGAATACTGAAAATAGTATAGCCTGCCAGAAGAACAAACAAATCGGTCTTGGAAGAAGTAAAGCCGGAAGGCTCCTTAGAAGTGAGAATGACCAGACTTTGTTTCACGTACTTTCGTCATGATGTCAGAAGGCCCTGGTTCCTGGAGAGGGATATCATGGTTGGTAAAATGGAGGGTCAGCGAGAAAGGGGAAGGCCCTCAATGAAATGGATTGACACAATGGCTGTGATGATGGACTCAAGCATAGCAAATATTGGAGGATGGTGCAGGACCAGGCAGTATTTTGTTCTATTGTACATCAGGTTGCTATGAGTCTGAACCAACTCGACAGTACCCAACAACACCACCATATATCTTGACTCCTTCCATTTTTGTTGTTATTGTCACAAATTACATCTGTATACATTGTGTGCCGATTAATATAGATTTATAATTATTGTTTTATACATTTTCTTTAAAATCACATTTAAAAAAAGAGGCATTATAAACCAAAAATATAATAATGTTGTATATATAATATACAAATATATACTTTATAATACTATATGGCTACCTTTATCAGTGTTCTGTATGTCTTCCTATGACTTCCTTCTGTCTATAGTGTCCT